CCCCCCTAGGGCCCTCCAGGTTTCCAAGGACCTGCTGGTGAGCCTGGTGAACCTGGTCAAACTGTGAGTACATTGTTTTCACTTGTGATAAATATTTTTAAGATGTTTATTAATACAGCCTTAACTAAATGATGAGACTCTTTTCCTTAGGGTCCTGCAGGTTCTCGTGGTCCCGCTGGCCCTCCTGGCAAGGCTGGTGAGGATGTAAGTATTTATTCCTAAACTCTTCCATTTAAATATTCCTGCCTCAAAAGAGATTCTAGATTCAAATCAAATAGCTTGCCAAAAGTTGAATAAGCCTAACATAGCTCTCCCCATATGGAAATTATTGTTGTAATGAAATATTAATCAGCTTGGTTATTTTTAAAGAAATGTTGTTAATTAAATATATGTTTGGATCCATATTTTTCTGTAATGTCTTTTCCCTTGTTGTAAAATCCATGATACTCCACTTTCATGTGGTAACATAGCAGGAAAAGGTTTATCTTATAGATGCTTTTATGTTTTAGGGTCACCCTGGAAAACCTGGACGACCTGGTGAGAGAGGAGTTGTTGGGCCACAGGTGAGACTTTTATAAGTCCAATGAGACTTTATATAGTCCAAATACCAGAGGGCTTGAAGATAGAAAAATAGTTGCAAAAACTAGACTCAATCTATGTGTCATCATAGATGTCACACATATCGGAACACTAATTGAAGATGTCTGATAAATAAAAGGAGTCTAGTGATCTAGTGAAGAATTCATGTTCTTGTTATGTGCCGTCGAGTCAAACCCGACTCATAGCGACCCCTCCTTGGGTTTCCGAGGCAGTATCACTACGGAAATAGGATTGCCCAACCTTCCTTCCGAGGAGTGGCTGGTGGGTTTGAACTGCCAGCCGTCTGGTTAGCAGGCAAGTGTCTTAGCCACTGTGCTACCAGAGCTCCCATAGAGTTCTTATTAATGCAGATGATGCAGTATTAATGACAGCATTCATACTAGAAGCAACTATATTCCATTTTCTACAATACTATAATTACTCACATAAAGGCATATTAGTTTGTTGCTCTGTGCTTTAAAATATGCTAAGTTTTTTGTTTGTTTCTTTAACTTACTGATGTTGTTTGAAAGTTCACAGAGAAAATTGGTTTCCCATTGAACAATTCATATAAATTTTATTTCATGGCATTGGTTGTCACAAAAAAACTCATTGCCATCGAGTTGACTCTGACTCCTAGCGCCCCCTCCTTGGGTTTCCGAGGCAGCTGTAATCCCCTGAGTATAACAGCACTCTTCCATTCCTCCCTGGGTTCCCAGTTTCCATTCGTCCTTCTGTCCTGCCCCTTCCTGCCTAATATATGAGGTTTTTATTCTGAGCTTAAACTTTAATGAGAAAAAAAGGTTTGGAGGGAAGCAATCATCACTGTCTTTTCCTTTAGATCAAAACTGTTACTCGTCTTCTTCTGTGTTTCTTTTAAGGGTGCTCGTGGTTTCCCTGGAACCCCTGGACTGCCTGGCTTCAAGGGCAT